GAGTACCATCATTTAATGCTCAGAATAGAAAAAAAACCCAAATGGAATATAAAAAATTTCTTACCTTTGGTTTCATGAAAGTTATTCTCTTGGTCCGAATGCTAATGATAGAAGACACATCTGAAACAGGATTCAGCTGTGTACACCAAGCTTCTGGTAAGAGTTTACACAGCAAGTGAAGGGACATCTGCTGCAAGCAGTTTTGTATATATCATAGAATTCTTCCACACCCTTGGCTAAGGAGTGCAGTACATCAACTTCATTAGGAAAAACTCAAGGTTTGTTCTGTGATCACATAAGAAATAGGTTTAAAATGCAAATGACAAATGTTTCACAGAACAAATCTACCTCAATGTTTGAGAGAAAAAAAAGTTGCGTTGACCTTTCATTTGAGCTTTCATTCTTTGTCATGGATGTTTATTAGAGCCTTCTTAGTTTWTACAGCAGTGGTGAATTATTGAAGCCTTTGAGAAATTCGTAGAAAACAATGGAGTCAAGAATAATAMCAATACAAGGGAAAGTATTTTCTTTAAATCATTTTTATATACTAAATGAAAATACTCCTGCTCATCCATAATACTGTATATTGGTGTAGCCCAGGCTTATTTCAATGTTTTCCTCCACCCAGGGTATTCTTCACCTTTGGACAATCCCAAGACCTCGAAACAAAACAGGATAGATACTCTGATGTGTCARTCCAATAGACCTTTAACCAATTGAYGTCATTACGCATTCGCACACGCATTTTTAGCGCCTCAGTCGGAAGCTGGGGGAAGCTGCCAGTCGAGTTGAATGTTTACATTACTTCCAATGATAGCAATGGGGAAAAGTGACTTTTGTAGTGTGTATAATTGCTCGAGACAATGTGACCGAGTAAAAGACAGAGGAGAACCTTGTTCTTTTTACCGAATTCCTCTAGAAAATCGAGAAAAGCTACTAAAAGAAGAAAGCTGTGGCTCAATGYGAGTCGCCGCCAGGACTTAACTCCGACGAAAAACAGTAAAGTGTGTAATCGGCTTTTTTTTTCCTGGCGTGGCAATTAATTATCCGAACTCTGCGGACTACATTGCTACATTACATCTTGGATTTGCGAAACAGACAAAAGAGAGAACAACCTCCCGTTGCAAAACAGCATGCTACTGGACAGATGAGAAGCTAGCCAGTGCAACAAGTCAGAACGAAAAAACTGGAACTGCGAGGCCTCGCTGTACAAAAGACCACTGCATTTGTTGAAGTTTCAACCTGCCACACACTAGGAGATTCTTCTTGCAACCAACCAGAAGAAATAACATGAGTTAAATGTCATCAAACACATAAAGCTCTGTCAAAATAAAGAGACCATAGGCACAGTTATCCTGTATTTGGTGGAAATCATTCCACCAAAATGATTTCTGAACTCTTCCTGGGTTAAAACAGTGTTGTTGTTTCTAAAAGAATATGAAGTTGTTTACTTGCACAATTTGAGGTTTGACAGCACTGCATCTTTATCATTTTGGCCATTTCACATTTTCTGAAAGTAAATACAACTTTTTTGCTTTTGATTTGTGAGACATGCTCTAAGTTCATTGAATAAAAGGACAATGTTAATTTCATTCCAACAAAATCTTTACTCAAATTAATATTTATTTTGAGTACATTCTAGTCAGCTATGTGAACTTAATGAAAGAAATTATGGATCTAAAAGCATAATTTACTGCATGATTAACAATTTCAAGTTTTATTTCTAGAAAGTGGTAGAAATTGTTTTTCATAATTAGGATTTTCCTGGTTAAATAAACATCAATAAATAAATCTGTCAATTCATCCATTAGATTTCTGATCAGTTCCAAACAGGTTTTGATCAGTGAATACAAAATACAAAAATATTACATGCTAGTGCTACATCTTTGCCTAATTTTTATATGTACAAAATTGGGCCGGTCTTGGCCATCAAACTCCCGGGCTGAAAGGTTTTCCCACTCCGCCCCTGGCAGCCACCCCCTTGTCTGCAAGAAAATTAACAACACCTAATTCATTACAGCCATACCGAATTTGCCATTATTTTAAAAAAGACAGGTGAGAKACAGTATATTGCTTTTAATTAATATAATTTTATAGACATCAAATTTTCCATCAAATACAGTCTGAGCTGTAACAAATATTAGCAAAACCTATAATGAAAATTTCCTACAAAGCTTATGAATGTATCTCTTGGGACAATACTTATTTTTACATATCACAACATCAACAATTTTCTCAGCTTTTATTTAAGCCATAGTTTACACAAATAGGATAGGAAATAAGGTTGCTATAAACAATTATGTGAGACATTGATGCTAATCCAATGGCTTTGTTTACGACTCTGTGAATAGTGATGACTCGTACGAAAGCCCGTGGCAGCGCTAGGCTACAGCGGCTAATAGATGATGTAACAATAACCAAATCAGTCTAAAGTTCAGCTAGATTTGGCATTTAAACTTTCATTCTGATGCTTGAGTCAAAAGATTGATGAAAACAAGACAAGAAAAACGAACTTACTCTGCTGGGCATGCTCCCGCCGACATCAACGTCCTTTTTTCGGCGATTGTCTTTTTTGACACGGTGGCTGCCCTCGACAGTTGCTTCACAATGATGTCCTTTCAGATCCGCGGCTCACTTTTCAGGGATTTTGTCCATGGTTGTCCACAATTTTCCGAAACCAAGCATCGACATTAAAACTCGCCTTCATCAACAAGGTCTCCCCCCCCACAACTTCCGTATATGGGAGAAGTCAGCATTTCGGCATCCAGTCAAAACGTTCATTTCTTGCGTGATTTGCATGATGACGTCAATTGGTAAAAGGTCCATTGGAAGTTGTTTTTTAGATCTCTCTGCTCTATAGTAATCCAGCATTATCAGTAGATGGCACCAGCTCCTTTGCTACCCTGCACAGAAACGTAGGTAAGGAAAATAGATGAATAGCAATGAGGGAGCTTAGCTACAGTCCGTTTCATGTTGGAGGCTAATCAGCTACGTTTGACAGGTGGATATGAACTCATTGCAGTTTCTAAAAAAATCATAATTTATTTTAAAGGCCACCCAATGCCTCAAAAATTGTATCTCTTTTCATGCTTGAGGAACTGGGAATACTATATTGCTGCTTATGGCATGATTGGAAAGACTATAAAAACATAATCATTCCAATCCATATCCAAAAATAAATTCAGCAGTATACTACAATCTGTTTATGTCACATGCCACCAAAGGCAAAAGGGCAAAAGGTATTTTTTTTCTAAAGTTTTTGTTTTCATCATTAGCAAGATATCCGTTGATCTACAGTACATTATCCTTTTATCTACATACATTCTAATTTGGAATTAATCTAAATCAAAATGGCTGGCACAGCTAATCAGTCTTAGCCAATACTTATATCTTAGCTAAATTTACAGATTTTAGGCTAAATTTGGTGTGATTGGGACAGATAGTTCTCTGAAACACACAATCATCATAATTTCGCATAGGTTTGAGCTTTATGTCATAAGAAATGTTTGCCCAGCATCGATGTCATGCAATTAAGCCAATTTTAAAGAAAAACTTCAAAATAAACAATCGGTTTTTATATATTGTTTTTTTCTGTATAAACTGTGGAATCATATTGACTTCAATAGAATCCCTCTCAGACTTCTTAGAGTTTTTGTGCAACAGCCACTTCCAACACATGAGGTCAGTCAAGGAACCATATTCTGAGTCTTTGAAAAACAAAGATACTGCAGAACAACATAAATAAAATGTGTTGTCAAGATTAACAAACAATTCTATAAAACTGTACTCACCATGTTCAGAGGTAGTAAATTWTTCCATTATATAAAGTTGTTATACATGGTCTGCAGTTCAGGCAGTGTCACATTTTGAAAAGCATGACCAACAGTTATCTTGATATCTACGTAGATTGTTAGTTTAACTGAGTGAGTGATAAAAAACCTGTTTGACTGTCTTTGTTGAGCAAAGTTATCTGCTTCTTGACTTTTTGACTTGCTGACTGTACATGTGCTTTTATGAAGAAGGGCTTATGTTTTTTTTTTTTTTTTCCATAGATAACAAATTAAACATGGTACAGATTCATATTTTAATAAAAACACAAAAGCTTAGCATTGTGTCAATAAATGCACATGGCCCGCTGTTAATGTTTTAGACTAAGATCATCTAATATAGCTACTTTGTTCCAACTTTTAAAATAATGAAATGTACAATCTCAGATTGACAGATGCCCATAGATACATGTGAAAACATTATCATCGACCTTTGCTTCCTAAATTCCTGACTTTGTAATATGTGATTTAAAGAAGAATGGGCTTATGATTTTATGTATTGTTTGCATTTTAAAAAAGAAACATGGTGATAAGAGAGCTCATATGAATAAAAGCTTAGCATTGTGTGATTAAATGGATATCACCTATTACATTTCATGCCAGTGTTTCAGACTAAGATCTTCCCATGGCATGTAGTCATTCTGTTCCAACTTAAAAAAACAATGTTATACAACATCTCAATTTCAGAGATGCACAAAGATACAGGCAAAAACATTCTCGTCCCTCTTTACCTTTTGGCAGTTGGTGAAAATATTTGATGTTTAAAATAAGACACTGATTGCAGGAACTTGTCCCAGTTATAAGCATATACT